TATTCTGAAGCAGTATTAATTAAAATGATTTCTCAGCAGAAACCTTGTTGCCAGTTCTTTTCTTTAATAGACTAAGAGATAAATGTGAAAGGGAAAGCACCAGTATTTCGGTATTATGCATTAGGCCTAAATAACTCACCATCTTTAGTGGAAAAAGTGCATGTTGAGTGCAGTGACAACGTTAATTAGAACATGATTAAGGGCCAGGATAGTTCAAAATAGAGTCATCATCTTGATAAACGAGAACAGCTCATTATTATCTTCAGAGTTTAAATAATTTTGAATGTTTGGATTCTTAAGCAGCCGGGATATCTATCTCCATTCCTTTTCTGAGTAAACCATTTGTGTTCCATGAAGTCCTTGCTTCCTAATTTTCTATAATCTTTACCCACTAAGGTAATAAATATCCTTTGCTCTCTTGTAATAGGAAGTCCTGATACAGTGTGTGAAGCTAGTGAAAGCTGAGAAGGAATGTTTAGGAATAAACTGACCTGTATTACATGTCATGTGTAGGTTCCAACAATAATGGCCACCATCTATTAAGGACTAACTGTCCTACCATGCGGCCTCCCTGCATGTAATAACACAAAGTAGGCATTCATGGTCCCTTTCCTAGACAAGAAAACAAATTTAAAGACATTGTGCACTTGGTCCAAGGCCACGGGGAAATGTAAACATTAGGTCTCATATTACATAGGTTTCAATACTTCCTTTTCTGGAAGGTGAAAAAATTTTGCATCTGAAAGACAAGGTATGAGGTGAGATAAAAATATATGGTGAATGTTTAAGTTAAAAATATATTACAGTAAAAGACATTGCCACGAATCCACCTCAAAATACCTCCCCTTGCTTGGAACACATTTATCCCATATTCGTGCCACTTTCTGAAGCAGTTCTGGAGTCCTGTTTTCATTAGTGTTTTTAGGAGGTGTGATAGAAAGTATGGTGAGTGCTGCTGCTTAGTTCCAGGCATAGAAAAGCAGGCTCTTAAAAGCATCACAAGGTACCCTTATCGACCCTATTCACTGGATCTGGCACTCGTGATCCCTGGCTCTTCTCTAAGGTGAAACTGACCATGGAAAGTAAATGTTTGGAATGAATTCAGGCCACTGAGTAGCTACAACAGTAGAATTAAAGACACCTGTGAAAGAGGAGCTCCAGACCTGCTTCAGAAAGTGGTATCAATGATGGGATAAGTGTGTTTGAAGTAAGGGAGAGCACTTAATATCATAAAATAATGTTGTTTGTTTTATAAAAGGTAATATAGCTCAGTAGCACCGCACTTGCCAGGCAAGTGCTAGGTCCTGAGTTTGATTCCTGGTACCAAAAAACAAAAAATTCTTTTTAAATTTAAACACTCATTCACTGCATTTTAAACATCACACTTCATGTAATCTTTGGAACATACGTATATGTGCTCTATTTGTCTTTAAAGGTGTGTGTGTGTGTATGTGTGTGTATGCAGGGTTAAATTAATATGGAGAGAGAGGTGAGTTTTAATAGGAAATCTAGAGTTTGAATAATTTTAAACAGGAGAATAATCAAAATTTATTTACATTTGCCTACATGGTAAGTTGTGCAAATGACTTAACCATTTTATTTTTCTATTAATTGAGCAACCATGTTATAAGAATATGTGTTTTGTACACTATCTGATCTGGAAGTGCAGATGATAAACAGAGAGATGAAATTTTACTCATTTAGAGCTTAGAATATTTTGGTCACATTACTATTGGGCAGACTTAGCCTCCTCTGTGGGACTTTGGGCATATTATATCAGCTTTTTGAGATTCACATTTCTTAATACGGGATAACAATATTGTCTATCTCTTTGGGTTTAAGTGAGAATTAACAGAGGTGAACCTGGAAAAGTGCTCATGAAAGTATTTAGCACATAGTAGGAATTTAACAAATGCAAATAGAACAAGTGATGTAAACGTATGTGCATGATATTTGCTAACAGTCACTCTTCCCTTGGGCGTTTTCACATATTCTATAGACCATACTTTTTTTTACTAGAATGATTTCAAGACATGTATTAAGACACAGTTTATTGACAGCATTGGAACCATGATCTTAAGCACTAAAATCCAGTCAACTGCTTAGATAATTTTTCTGTTGTCTAGCAATTATATAGACTTTTTTTCTCCCAGCAACTTACTGTTCATATTGGCCACCAAAGAAAGGCAAGTGAAAAAGAGCAATTCAACCACTATTTTGGTTTTGCTGTTCAAGAGAAACTGGTTTGATTCATTCATTGAGAGAATTATTTTAATTGACCAGTTTTGCTTGATGCATGTGACCCATGGTTACTGAACGTGGAGGTTTACCAGAGTTGGGTGGGGAAGCTTTAAAACATACCCAGACTTGTTAAATTCCAGGAGATTCTTATTCAGCAAGTTTGTGGTTGAATGTTTGTTTTTGCCTAAGCTTCACAGGTGCTTTTACTGTTCACTCAGGTTTGGAAACTATAGACACGGGCCATGTGGCCCATGATTTAGCTCTACCAAGGACATAATAAGTTGGGAACGGCAGAGTGTGTCAAATACCTAGAAAATTCCTGATTGCCAGTGCCTAAACAACCTCTATTTATAACGAGTTTGTTTTCTTTCTGGTTAAGATTTATATTTGTGAGTATTCTGGAAGAGAAAACATATTTTTATTATCTAAATCAAAACACAGCATGAGGTACTTTCCAATAAAATCAACTGTCAATTATACACAAGTCAAAATCATCTGACAGTTTACAGACTTGAAATCCTTCTAGGCACCAGGAAAAAAAGTTTAATTTAAGATTTTAATCTTTCCATATATTACAGGGTTTCTATAAGTGGAATTTGTGTGCCTGAAAATAATGGAGTGACAGGTCTGGATGTTATAGATTTATTAACCACTGGTTAAATAGTTGAAGTTAGCTTCTTTCCATTTTCCCTTAGTCTGGACCAGAAGGAGAAATTTCAAGGCTTGAGGTAGGCAAGAGTTAAGGTTGTATTATGCAAGCAAAAGTTATGTTTTATTCCACCATACTTTTCCAGTGAAAACATTATGCATTCAACATAAAAATGTGATGTTGAGCTCAAAGGAAAAAAATGACACGTTGCTGGAATACTGGAAAGGCGTCTGAGAAATTTACTAACCCCATCCTTCAGTAAGTTGTTTTATCATATTGAAAATGAGGATTGAGAATTTATCAAACATTGGGACAAATACATTTTGAAAAAAGGGTGAGACAAAATTTAATTTTTCAAAAAATGTCTTAGACTATTATATAGAAACAGGTAATGTGTGCCACTTACATATATTACTGTTTACAGTGATCCGCATGTACGTACTTTAGTTACCTTGAAAGGTAGATAACTGAGTTTTTAAGGGTCACCTAACAGGAGGCAGTGCTGGGATATGAAGCTTGGTTTTATTTACCTTACTTTGGGACTTTATCTGAAAATAAACGTATTTTTAAATCCACATCAAGTATGAACTCTTCAGAATGGAAAGGCAATTTTTAATTTAATCATGTTGAAATGATAGGTAGTGACTGGCCAAATTGCAGGACTATCTAGGCACAAGCCTAGAAAAATATCAGCTTTGCTTATCATGTTGAACTGTCCCTTGTTCTTTGGGAATTTGGAGTGCAGAGATCCTGGTGAATGGGGAACACTCCAGTATGTAGGCTGAATCTCATCTCAAAGAGGCTTTGTCCAGCCTCATTTTACTTTGTGGTGCTAAAACCCAACAGTACTGTAAAAATGCCAAGGACACAATGCTAAAAGGGTGCAGGATACCAGTGCTGTCCTGAGAAAGTAGGAATCAGTTCTACTAGTGAGGATGTAAGTTTGTATGTTTCTCACGGTAGAACTCTTTTCTTTTCTGCTATTGAAAGTAAGAGAGTTCATGAGTATCTTTGTTCCTAAACTTACCTACATAATACTTCTCAATGATACCTGTTTTCATTATTGATTCTTCCTTTATGTTTTATTTTATGTTGTATATTTATTTCATAGCTAAGGTATACGGAGTCATTTGTATTTAACACTCTACAGCAACTTCCAATTTTCTTTGTTTATAAATCTCTTAATAGATTTTCTCCTGTGAATTTGAGCAAAATACTTTCTCTCTACTTTTAGACTGTAATATCAGAATCATGTTGGTTTATGAGAACTTATATTTTATATATTAAACCTGTTATTTTGACCGTATTACCTGCTTTAACTGATTTGCTGTTTACTACAATGAAAAATACATGTTTCTTAATTATTCTGAGGAACACATCTGCTGATGACAAAAATGGAAAACTAGTTAAGTGCTATGTTGAACTGTGACTAAACTGCCTTGGTGGGGACAATGTTTATTCAAATCTCATATTAAGACTAGATGCTAAAAATAAAATTACATATTTTGAAATGCATTTAACACTTTAACAGTTTTCAAATTTTACTTAGAAATAGGGCCCTGTATTTGTGCTTTATGTTAAAAGGTAGAAAAGGAAGATTTCCCTCTAATCTTTACTCCACAGTACTGATGAAATCAAGGTTGTACATGAGGATGGTGCATACATCAAAAATTATAGTGCACTAAATCACAAAAGCAACTCAGTAGTGACTAAATAGCTCAGTAGAGACCATAAAGCAGAAAGAGGCAAAATTCAGCTACCATTACCTGCCACAGTTTAAGGTACATAGGTAGAGTGGGTCACTGTCTGTCTAAATTCTGGATCCATTGATAGATTACAGAGAGACTGCTACAATGCCAGTGATACAAGCTAAAGAATCCCATGGACCTTATACTCTCAGGAGTGTGGTTTGAATTATTCTCTTCATATGTTCAGGAAACCGGTGATATCCTTCTCATTTACTAATTTCACATTTCCATCCTTCTTTTTAATTAATTTTGTTTCACACAAGAGAGAAAGAGGGAGGGAGAAAGAGAAGGTGGCAGAGAGAGAGAGAGAGAGAGAGAGAGAGAGAGAGAGAGAGAGAGAGAGAGAGATTTTATTTCTTTACCTGGTGGTTTCCAGGCTACAAATATGGAATAAGGCCCAACTACTGTGATATTATATGGAGGATGGATTTCTTCTGGTGTCCACGGAGGAGTTTGGATCATGTAACCATCACTAGTATTGCTGCCGCCTCCAGTTCTGGCTTCTAACTTATAAATGTATCTAAACAAAGAAGAATTTTAATGTCAGTGCACAAGAGAGGCAGACAATAATCGCTGACTTTTCCATCCATTGTTTTGTCTTAAATTTGTGACCAGTGGTAAATTCTTTGCTCCTCGTTCAGAGAATTTACCACGGACTTGGACATTTTCTAGTCCAGGTAGCATTTTCTCCAAGCCATCACTATTTTCACCACTCCCAATTTGATACTTTTAAGTCCCCAATCATTCTTAACTTCTCCTGAAGATCTCAGGAAAGTCTTGGAGAATGCTGCCCGATTGCGGAAGACTCAAATTATTCTTCCTCATTTTTAAAGGGTGGAAGTTCAGGTAATATGTTTAGAGGAAAAGGTTTTTAAATTGGTCTATTATTCTGTACAATAAAACTAAATTGTTCGCTATGCTCCACAGTGAAACATCTGTTGATATAAGATATATTTTGCCTCTGCTGAGAAATGAATGGGAATAAATTGCAAATCATGTAGAACTTTCCTCCCCTAAAACGGTATGTCTACATAAGAGAGGAAAAAGCAGTTGACGGAAAACAGAACTCTGAATCTCATTTGCTGCTATTTAGAAGTACACTTTTAGAGTAACTTGATAATTTGTAAAGTTTAATACTGTGACCACTTCACTTTACCTTGACTCTTTCAGTATTTTTTTTACTTAAAGATTCTTTGCTTTCATGTCAAGTAGAAGACTAACCTTTTTGTTTATATTTTAAAGGAATCTCACGTAGTCTGAAAACTAATTTAATGACTTAGTGCTTTCATCAGGTACAGTACAACTAATAAATAAACAGGTTAATCAATAACAACATTTCTGTGAAATGTATTAGTTTTAAACCTTGAAACATTAAAACAAATCTTCCTGTATGAACAGTAAAATTTTGCCTTTGGTTACCTGCTATTGGGCTCCAGGTGTTTATCGGTGAAATTCTGCTCCTCACTGCCACCCAGAAAGAGTACAGTTCCATTCCGACTCAACTCATACTGAGAAATACGACCATTGGGTTTCTCTGGCGGACTCCAGTACAATTCCACTGTTGTAGAATTGACAATAGTATGTCGAGATGTCACCCAAACTCCTGGAAAAATAGCATCATGCACTTTCTTGGAAGGATAAAATAAATGCCTCATCAAAACTTACACTATCACCTCACCAACCATGATATTTTTATCTGTGGATTAAAATAAATCTCACTGTGAGTGACAAATACATTTACTTGGGAGATGAAATATATAATTGAGCAGAACTATATTTCCCTATTGTCTACTTTATTTTTGAATATCATTCTGGTAGCAGTAGACAATTTCTCCATCTTGGCTGTCATTCTAAGTATAATGTAATCAAGGCTTGAGAGGCTATCCAGGCATTTTAAATTTTGATACTATTTACCTCAAATACATGGAAGAAAGCATAGTTTAGTATTTCCTTGAATTATACAATTCAACAAATAAGAATTTCCCCTCCTCTCACACCTTGTGCTGTGCTTCCTTACCTTCGTCTCCTCAGGCTACCCTTCCAGGCTCATTGACTGGTTCTTTTCCTCCCTTCCACCTTAAAATAATGTGGTGCCTCGGGAAACCAGGCTCTTTCTGCTCTCCATCTCTTCCTGTCTTCTTTTTCTTCCTCCTCCCCCTCTCTTCTTCGCTTCCTTTTCTTCTTCTCCTTCTTCTTCTTCTTCTCCTCCTCCTCCTTCTTCTCCTTCTCCTCCTCCCCCTCCTTTTCCTTCTGTCTTCTTCTTTTCCTCCTCCTCCTTCTTTTCTTCTTTCCTCTTCCTCTTTCTCCTCCTCTTTCATCTCCTGCTCTTTCTTCTTTAACACTCCCTCTCTAGGTGGTATCTACTCAGTCTTAGTTTTGGATATCATCTTTATGTCAGAGATTTCTAAATGTGTATCTTTATGCTCACACTCTCTTCTGAGCTTCAGACTCATGAATCCAATTGTTTATTTGACATTGCCCCTTGAATCACTGCCTATACATCTAAAATTAAAAGCATCCTGAACAGAACTCTTGGTTTGTCTCTCTACAGTCTACTTATCTCACCCTGTCCATCATTGTCTTGGGCAAAACATAAAGAGAGTTATTCTTTTTCTCCAAATCACCAAGCCCTGTGGATTCTACATACTCTCCACGTCTTCATTGTCACCCTTCTGGCCCAAGCCACAGTTCTCTCTTGTTCTTCTGCCACAGCCCTTGACACAGCTGCCCTTTTTCTAACCTTGGTATTCCCTGCACCATTGGACTCTTTGGTGTCCAGTGTGTGAAGTGTATATGTAAGCTAGTATAACCTTTATGAAATATGCAAGTCTTAGAAATTTGTTTATAAAACATAATCCCAACTCCTACAATGGACTGTTTGGCCCCATATTTCCCTGCCTTTGGCATACTTGGCATCATTGTCTCCATCATTTATGAACCTCCAGTCACATAAGAATCATTTCCACTTGCAGAATGTTTTAATTTCTTTCCTACCTCTGGGTGTCTGCACTTTGACTCTCTCTGCCTGCAACACTGGTGCTGCTGACACCCTGATGCTTTTTAGCTTTATTCTCCTAGTTCAGTTATCTGCATAAATATCATCTTATCAATAAGAATATCTTTGATCTTCCTTTCCTAACTCTAATCCTATCTAATGGGACCCTAACTTTGTTTTTCTCTACCATATACTCCTTTCTATTTCCAGCTTAACTCTCATATAACATCATAATCATTGTCTTTCTTTGACATATTATTATTTTTCTTTTTTTACAGATGGGCAGTCCACTCTTTTCTCTTGCTTCAAAGCAAAATTAGTTCCATGAAATCAGGAATACTCTCTCTTTTATTTATCCTATATGTCTATTAATAGCATGGTACCTAATAGATACTGTGACAAGGTAGAGGGTCCACTTGATTGGCTTTGGGATCCTCCAGAGATTACTGGAGCACAATTTTTTGTTTAGGTGAGTCAAGGAGGCACAGCCTTGGACTGTATCTGCTCTTTCCCCCATTCCTCTCTGGTACTGTTCCTTTGCTCTGCTTCCCAGATGTAAGCTAATAATCTTTGCTCTACCATTGACTATGATGTTGTGCCTTAGAAACAGCTGACCATGGACTTAATCCCCTTAAAACTTACGTTTATTAATTAATTAATTTAGCTTATGCCAAATTAAGCTTGTCCTTTAAATTGTGGGTATCCTGTCTTGTGTTCAGCAACAGAAAAGCTAAATAACACAGAAAACTGGTACTGGAAAAATAGGATTGTTGCTCTGATTACACTCCACTATGTGGTTTAGAAGCCTTCAGAACTCATTTGTAAGCTGAGTTTCAAAAGATTTGGTGATGTGGAATAGAGAAGCTTTAGAATGTAGTAAGCAGAGATTGATAAGTGATTCTGGTGAGAGCTCAGAAAGACAAGAATGCTGACACGAATGTGGACAATAAAAGTCAGGAAGGTTTCAACTGGGAGCAAGGATCCAGTGGAAGTTCAACTAGAGGCCATGTGTGTTACACTCTGACAGAAAATTTGCATACATTTTCCCCATGTTTTGAGAATTTGAAGATAAGAGCATTAAATTAATTAGGGGAAATTAAAGCTCTCCACCTTTAATTTGTGGCTGTCTGACATTGTGTCTAGCAATAGGTACACTGACTAATACAAATATAAAATGAATAATTTTAATGGGGAGACATCTTAGTGAATCTAAAATTTAATGTACACTACTTCCAGAAAAGCACCACGTTAGGCACTTGTAGCGATTGTAGGGAATGCAAAGATAACTTGTGATGGAAACTTTAAAAATCAGCTAGTAGTCTGATACCACATTAGGACAAAATATGATCACACAGCCTTCCACGTAGTCCAACTGTTAGACTCAGTCTGCTTTGATTGGCCACGCACAGCTGCAAACTAAAGATAGCCTAACCCAGTTCAGTCTGACCACCCTTATCTGCACACCCCGTACTTTCCAGCCCACAAACATCCTGTTTGTTAACTAGTTTGAAGGACTTTCTGCCCAGCAACCCACGATGACTGCCACTACCCAATAAAAATTCACTACTCTTTCAAGCTTCTGTGCTTCCTGCTTACGAAACCTATATAAACCAATCCCAAAGCCAGCTTTGGGCTGACGCTTTGACAGCAACCCCCCATCAGTCTGCTGGCATAATAAAGTTAGTTGCCTTCCAAGTCCTTGGTGCAAAGTGTTTTCCATTGAATTCGGTACTGTTCTGCAGCAAACTAAGCTGTGGTTAATTATTTCAAAGAATTTACCCTTCAGTATAAAAGACAAAATATTCACACACAACCATATTTCAGGGTCAAAATTTAAATACTCTTATAGATGTATAACCCACTGATAGAGAATCTACCTTGAGAAATATCAATCCTACCACTTTATGCTGTCATCTAGTTATGTTCTGAGTAGACAGGGTAACTCGCTTATGGAATTAAAAAACAAAACAAAAAAAACCTTTCATTATATTAGGTTCCCTGTAACCAATAGCTTTGGAACAATTGTGTCTTCTGTGTAAATTACTTTGTAAAGGGTAAACTTTTGACATTTTTAGGAGAAAATTTTTCAGAACATTCCAATACAATTTGTGTAGCAATATCCTACAAAAATTTTAGAGAGATCTCAAAACGCCTCCAGCATACAGACTGTCTAAGCAGCATCTTATTCCTGAGAAGAAAGTGGCCCATTTTGTTCTCAGAGCCTGCTTTGTGCTAGATACTTGGAAAACCACAAATCACAGTATACATTTATGTCTCAGATTCTCTGCCAACAGCTGCTAGATGACTCAACCAATCATTGTGAGTCCTGATTTAAATACGATATTAATTTGTTGATTCAAGAGATAAAGTATAAAGGTTTAGCTTATTATCTTTTCATAGTCATATCTTTCTCACCTCGAGGGATATACTAGAAATCACTAAGGCGCTAAAACAGCTGATGCTTACTTTCCAGTTTGAACATGTCAATGTGGCTTATGGATATGGAGGTACTGATGAAATATAATGAAACAAAATTTTAGGTTTGTTTTCCATTTTATATGAAAGTTGAGTTTTGTCTTCAGACAAGCTCAGGAATGCTCTGTTGAAGTTAGTAATAACCCTGTGCCCACTGGCTTGATTGATAAGACGAAGTTCAAACATGCAAATAACTAGTAAGCATTGTGCTTTTATTTTTATAGTGATGTGGAACACTATTATTTTAACAATTATAAGAAATATTTGATAGAGTAAGATTCACCTTTGGAGAATTGTCTTAGGGAGTTCCAAGTGGAGAATTTGCCATTTTGTCTCCTGTACCCCAAATCTTGGTAGTACCAGAAAAGCCAATGCTGTGTCACAGAGGGGCAGAATGGAAGCAGTTCAAAGACAGAAATGATGGTAGTGAGGGAAATGATCTGGGAGAATGTGGAGGGCATAAACTAGCTGAAAGGTGCTGGGTTAAATCTCATGAAGCAAACCTTGGTGACTCTTTTGAGGTAATGACGATCAGAGAAAGAGCATGCGTGCTGGGTTTATTTTAAACTTATCTTGAGTTCCAGGCAACATTATCCACTTCTTGCATTCCCATAACTCTTTATTCCAATTAAAAAACCCAAGCATTTATTGTGGACTGGCTTTCTTCTCAAATCTGGTGCTGGGAGTCAGTTTATGTTAACTCACCTCAGGGATGCTTGGTTTCTGGACTGTTTACCATTGGTAGTTTACTCATTCAGCATTCTCTCTGACTTTGTATCATTTTCTTGGGCACTGTGGATATCAGGGAGAAAGAGATCCTCCTTACACTTGAAGGAGCTCATATCATAAAAATGAATAAAGATGTGTAAATAAAAGGCTATAATCCAGTATGACAATTCCTCACAGGGGCTGGGAGAGCACTTAGGGTGGGTGACCTGAGAAAGACTGAGAGTGTGACAGGAGCAGCTGGGAAGAAGGTGTTCACAGTTATTCCGATAGTTGCTGAAATAATAGTGTCCTATATCACCAGGCAAATAAAAACACAGTGCTTTCCAGTGGTCCCACAGGTGGGGAGATTTCTGGAAAGGAAGACGTAGGAACCCCGTTTTGAGGGATCAAGTTAGCTGAGTGAGGATGCAAGGGCAGGATGTCCAGGCAGAGGGCACCCCCCCTTGCTCACAGAGGGTGGGAGGGCCTGCTGGACTGTGGGCTTCTCAGCGCGGCTGCTGTGATGCTCGCAGTGGGCAATGCCAAAAGACTCACTGCTTCCGCAGAGGCTAAACCTTGGGGAGTCTATTTGCTTTACTGAGAAGGTACAGATTTATGTTTTCATGGAATAAAAGAGGATTTTATGGAGTTGATTGATATGAGACGTGCATTTTTTTGAGGCGGGGGAAAGTAGGAAGAATTGGGAGGGGAGATAAAAGAAAGATGAAAAATGACCAGAGGCAGGCCATCTAGTGAGGAGGAGCTAGAGAAGTCAGAAGAATTCAAATTAAGATGCTGGCAAAGGGATGGAAAGGAAGAACAGCCTTTAAAAAAATCATTGAGATTTGTTATTATTAAGATTTTATGAAACATTATGAGCTATAGTAGAAGGAAGAGGCAAGCATTAGGAGGGTGAGGTGGTTGATGGTGACGGCAGCACCTCCGAGAAGGACACGGGAAGAAAGGCAGACTGGGGAGAGGGCTTGGCAGAGAGAGGTTAAGTGTTAAAGCTATGAGGTAGAAGTATTTGAAAAACTCCCAAGGATAACTATCTAGCAGAGCAGTGGGTACACGGCCCTTAACCTATGAGTACAGCCTTCCTGAACGCCTGATACAGAGCAGCTCCCAGCCCTTCTCAGGAGAAAAAAAATCAGGCCTTGGGAAGTGCAGAGGACAATGGGAGTTATTTGAGCAGCGAGTAGAAGTCCAAGGCAGCAGCAGTGAATACAGAAGGACAGAACAAGATGAGGATGGAGCAAAACTGAGACAGGTTGGTTTTCTTCCCTTTTTTGTTTTTGCTACTGTTGATTTTCTGGGAAAGCGTCCTGCAGTTTTGTATTATGTATCTACAGAAGGTATCAGAGCTCACCAGCATGGTAATGGTTCTAATAAAAGTAACAACCAGTTCAAACTCTTCCCACTATAGTATTTGCCTAAAGGTAGACAATACTCTAGGCAGATAAAATTGGACGGAACTTTGTTCAACTTGTCATGAAGTCAACATGTGCACTAAATTTTTTCTAATTGAAAATGAGAAAAGAGCTCAGATGGCCCCGGACAAATGCTTCTTTTAATTCTCTCCATACTCACTAAAGAGTCTCAAATATCAGCCCTTGAAATTTTGCCTGATTTCCTTCAAAATTGGCATGTTATACTTAGCTATACCTGAGTTAGTAATTTAAAAGTATATAACACATTTGCTTCTACTCGGAGGTGAAAAAACAAGATTTTAGGTTATTGCTGCTTAGTTCTCTGAAAAACCCCAAGTTAAGTGTTCAAACTATATTTATTTCATATACATATTCTACATACATGGCACTTATACAGGCAAGAAATGGGTCTAATCCATTTTTCTTTTGCAGATTAATCTTACTAGATGAAGTCTGCATAGTGATTTCTGTTAAAGGAATAATGCATAAAATTAAGGACAACATTTATCCTACCATTCCTTTGAATTCTGAAAGCTATAATTTTGAAGCTATAAAATCTGAACTCTTTCAAGAAATTTTATTGGGAGAAGTGGGAAAATAGGTTCCTATTTTTAAGGAATTTAACTGTGGGAATTGATGAGTAAACCAAAACAAGAAACCCTGTTATTTTATCTGGCTTGATTTTCAGCCAAAACTGGTTGATAGATCCTTTAGAAATTATCCATTATCATGAAAGTATCCATTTGATAGTTTACCTTTCCAAAAAATCCACTGCTGGTTTCTTCCTTTCAACGGAACGCTAAGCTTTTTGACATGAAACATTCTTTATATAGAAAACATCATTAGTGATTTCCTGGGGAGGAGCCATATGCCCCATATGTGGAATTTTCCATTTTATTCCCCATTTACTGGTAGGAAGTTCAAGTCTAATATTCTGAGGTGCAACAATCCCTTTCATTGGAAGAGTAATGGACAAGTAGCTCAGGACTCCACCATGGTAATTAACGTTATATTTCTGTTTAGAATCTTAATTATGCCTCAGTTTCCCCACATCTGAAACGGGAAGACAATAAAGATTTGCAAAATAATTAGGTGATCCCTACCACAAGCCTCTAAGCAAATTTACCTCCCCAAAGTAAATGACCTATTCCAGCTCCAACCCACAGGTAACCATAGGTATCAGTTACACATAGATACTTTACATTTATTTATTTAGCATCAGAAATGAATGTAATTCTCATGTGTATTTTATACAAAAGATATTACTATGGTTCCATAGCTTCCGTATATGTAGAGATCACCTCATTCTTTTAAATTTATGCATGGGAAGTCTACAATGTCAGAATACTTGAATTTTTTAGCAATTCCCCTACTCATGGATATTAAGTTTACTCCCACCATTTTATCATTAAGCCTAAAAGAAAATCTTCAACAAATATTCTGTTATCTGCTTCTTTGTAGATGTGGCATGGTTTCTGGCTTAGGTAATGAAAACAGAAGGAATTAAGGAATTAAGAATTTAAATGTAATAGAAATTACCCACGTGCTGTCTAAGGTGACGGTGCCACTTTACATTGACTGTGTCTTGTCCATTTTTCATTTGCTAAGAGCTTTGTCCTTGTGGTCGCCCTTAGAGGTTATCTGCCCCATGACACCTTCCCCAGTGCCCATGCAGGTTGTAATCACTCCCAGATTAAACTGTGTGTCTTTTGTTCTCCTGTGTGTTTGGGTCATTATCCTGTGATTCTTCCTACTCTATGGTAAATTCTTCAGGGTGAAGAAGGTTTTTGCTAACTTTAGCAGTAAGCCTGGTGCTGATTTTAGATTAGAAATATCTGAAAATATATTTAACTTTTGAGTCTTTAAACAACTTCCTATGCAAGTATGTGAGAATTTTGCCCCCAGAAAAGCAAACCTAAAAGGCTGAAGGAATTGGAAGCACACTCACCCACGGGAGCTGCTTACAGAGAAGAACAAGAACCTAACATACCTCATTATTTTTCCTTGTGTACTTTCATCCTTCTTACTTGTTTGCTAACAGACAATTTGGAGGATTCGCTTTAAAAGGCCATATGAAAACTTCTTCCTCCCAAAACAGATATTTTTCATTACCTTGTGGGGCTGCCTGTGGTGTCTGACCTAGAACAGGCTCACTGGAGGCGCAACCAGCAGATGTACAAGCCGTGAGTGTGAAACTGTAGTTGGTGTACGGCTGCAGACCTAGACAGAACAAAGGAGAAATAACACCTTGAGAGGGTTATTTATTACCAGTTAAGCACCAGAAGGAACATGCAGAGTTGGAGCTATGGTATGAAAAAAACTTAAACACACTTTTCTTTTGGTGTTGGAATGGAATCCAGAGTCTTGCACACGTAAGGCAAACACTCTACCACTGAAAGGGGCCCCCAGGTTACTGAAAATTTCTCTTGAATGAGGGTATGAGCTTTATAAGCAGTTAAGCATTAATCACTGATAAAAGAAATTATTGGCCGGCTCCATCCATCCAGCTACTGATTTCCTTGTAGATGGCACCCAGGGAGCTGGTCTACCTAAGTGACCCAAACACTGTAATCCAAGCACTGAGCTCTTCAGAGAACCCATTCTGTCTTTACAGAGCTCCAGAGTTCTCCTTTTTTGGTGTGGAAGCTCTTTGTTATACTGTGAAATCTTTCTTTCGCTTCCACCTTTGGGGACATGTAGAACAAATCTAACTTTTTTTCCACACGACAGTTTTTCAAATTTTAGTAGACAGTTATCAAATCCCCCAAGTGTTCTCTTCTCCAGGCCAAGTACCTCAGTTCCTGCAAATGCTTTTTGTAAGAATAGGAGCAGAAAAATAAAAAGGAGGTTAGAGTCAACATTACTTGCCTCAAGGCATATTCAGTAAATATTAACACTATCTCTTATTTTTCAACTTTGCACTTCTTGTATATGTTGGTTTTACAGATTAAGGAAAAGAGGATGAATGTTAGTACTTATCACTTGTTTTATATTTAGAATATGATGCAACACAGTAATTGCTCAATAAGTTATCAGGGAAAAAGAATGCCTTCCTCCATTTTCAACAGAAGTTGTATATTGTTATATTTCATGACTCCGTGGCTGGTGACCTTGGATGAGCTACTTAGCTTCCTTTTGCCTTGGTCTACTGATCTGTAAAATGGGGAATCACTATACCATGTAGCTCATATAAGAAGATGAAATGGGATACCCAGAGTAGTATTTTATATTAGCAGAAGCAACATTAAGACTCAGCAGTGTTCAACAAAGACTATATTGAAACTTACAGACATCTCTTTCTTTGATTCTTAGGAAAGTTCAAATATTAAAGCTCTCTTCACATTTTTTTAAAGAATGATAGTTCTGTGTAACTGTCAGATAATTACACCAAAGTATAGCACCCTACAATGATTACTGTACACATTTTTCATAAATCTGCAACTACATTTTCACTTGTTTTTTCTTTTGGTGGTGGTGGGTTCTTCTTTACATGTTCACATGTTACCTTGTCATTTTATGCAGAATTTTGCTTGAATGCTACATTTGCAAAGACTTTTGACCACTGTATTTAAATAACACACACATCCCTTTTTAATCTCTTTAAATGATCTTCTTCTTTTCTAGGCTTCACCATGCTCTGTTTTGGCACATATGTCTTTATTTACTGCTTGTCTCCCCTCCTATGATGCAAGCTCTGGAAGAGACCAGGGCTGCGTTTTGCCGACCACTATATCCTTCGCATATGACAGGCATGAAGAAGTAGGTGCTTGCTAAATGAGTGAAAAAATTAATGATCTGGTTTATTTAAAACAGGAGCAGTATTCTGGGTTCTCCCACGAGAGCGACAGCATGCTGCAGCGGCAGCTCCGGATCCAGCTTCAGGGTCCTTTGTGTTTCCTTATCAACGTAGTGATAAGATGCAGGTACTTATTTGATTATAATCTTCCATTTGGTTGCTATGGAGGATTTACATAATTTTGATGTTTACCTGATTTACAGATGAGGAATATGACTAAAGATCTAAGTCAGACCCAGGCCACATGTGTATGATAAAAGCTTACGGGAAAATGCTAGGATTACAAAATACAGAGCTCAAAAGGAAATGGAAGGGAAAGTCCCAGGATGAAAATCTGAGGTTGCGGAGGTAAACCGATTTGGCCTCATGATAGCTCCTTTCACTCTACTGAAAAAGGGGGTTTTAACCACTAACCGGATGCATCCGAGAGTATCTTACTTCTTTATCAGAATGCAAGAGCTTTGGGAGTAAAGGCAGCATTTTGAGTGTGTGTTTTGTCTTTTCCTCTTCTAGTCCCCATTTTAGGGATTGGGTTTGAGTTATTATTTAGAGAAGTGCAAACCTACAACAGTTTTCTGCAGGCACAGCGAAGCTATGGGTCTCCAGTGGGCATCAGCAGCACCGTCTGACCACACAGGTGCTTTTTAGGAATTCCAAGGGAATCTCTGCCGCAGAATCTACTTCACTCAGTCAGAGATTCTTCCCCAATTGCAAAATACTAGCAAAAGAGTAGCGACATTAATGCAATTTGTACATAATAATTATTTTCAAGGTTATTTTTTTCTGAAAACCAGATATAAGTATAGTTGGAAAAAGTGAAGAAACACTGTATTTTTAGGCAGTTTATCCTCAAAAGCTTTTTCCCCGAATATTAATTACCTCAATTCTCTTCCTTATTTTGTTTTCTGACTGGTCTGGTTTCAGACAAGCAGTAACTGCTGAAGAAAACTTCAGAATGGGTGGGTACTAGGGAGAGAAATTATCACCCCGGAAGTGTAGTAAGTTTCGGTAGACAATGCGGGTATTTGTAACCAGGGTAATGATTAAGAGAAAAATACATGTGTAGAAGAAACAGAAACTGTCCTTTCCTTACAGATCTTTCTGAAGGGATTTCCTCTTCATCCAGAACAGTGAAAGGCAGGTAAGTGTTAGGAGTGGTCCAGCAGATGGAGCAGCTGGTAACTTAGGAACTTGCGAGAGGCTGAGGGAGCGAAGGGCAGGGGACGCTCACGAGCCCGAGTGTGGGTTCCGGGCTAATGGAGGGACCGTGCTTCTCTGGAAGTTATCGGGCAACAGAATTAAGGGATGTACGAAACTCAGCCAGGAGGCAGGAGCCTCAGCCCAGAAGTCGAAGTTCAAACTATTGCCAGATATAGAGGGGTCCACAGCTGGAGGTATCACACTGCTTGATTTTAAGACACACTATGAGCCTCGGTAATGAAAAACAGCATGGCACTGGCATAAAAGTAGACACCCAGGACAACGGGGCAGAGTAGACATCATGGAAATTAAATCATGCATCTACAGCCAAGGGATTCTTAACAAAGTCCCCAAAGCATGCATGAAAAGGACAATTTCTTCAGTAAATAATGTGGGGAAAACTGGGTATTAGCAGGTATAGGATTGCAGCTGGATACCTAGGAGGTATGACCAAAAATGTGATGAATGTTTAAATTTAAAGAAATTATAAATACATTGCCATTGACACCCCTCAAAATACTCCCTTTCACTTTGAACGTGTCCAACATTCTTGTAATTTTCTGAAGCACTTCTGGAAATCTCTTTCATGTCTTTTTGAGGTGTGATCAAGAATACAGTGAATCCTGCTGCCTAGGGCCATCCAACAGAAAGGTGGGCTCTTAAAACATTCCAAGGATCCTCATCAATCTTATTCACTGGATCTGGCACCCAGTGATTTCCAGCTCCTCCCCAAAGTCAGAACAACCATTTTGAATGGACTTGGGACATTCAGATAACCATGACAGAGAAACTAAACACATCCATGAAAATGGTCTTCCAGAATGGCTTCAGCAAGTGGTAATAATGGTGGGATAAATGGGTTCCAAGTGTTGGGAGGTGTTTGGTGGGCAGTTATTGGCTGTGTATCTTTTACTGCAATATATAAATGATTTAAAATTGAAGCATTTACCATTTTTTTACCACTCCTCATTATATACAGATATTCCTCATTTAAAGACCTATCTGTTTAACGACTGCTCAGACTTACAACCAAGGAGTGCTCTTTGGACTTACGACTGCATTCAGACATGCAGGAGCTTGAGTAGCAGTGTGGTCTTGTGATGGCTTCTACAGTACAGCACTGTAATTTCTGTTGATTGTACAGTACAGTACTGTACTTTTATGTGCCATTATACATTGTAGTACTGCATGTAAGAGTTACACAAATAAAAGCAAAGTCATCAAATGGGAGTTTCCTTTGACTATTTCTTTGTTCTGAATATAGTAATGTACAGACTATCTACAGTTCCTTGTTTAGCAACCAATTTAATAACGACCTAGTCTCAGGAACAGAGCTTGGACTTTAACCCAGGAACATGAGCCACTTACCGTGCACCCAAAGAAGTTTTGCCTCGAATATCACCAAAACAAGCATAGCTACTCCTGGTTCACAGGTAGGAAAACTGAAGCTCCAATAGCTAAATCTTTGCCAGTGGATGAGTGGTTAGGGTAAGGACAAGACTATCGTTTTCCCACCAGACCCGCTGCTCTTGAGATCACTGATGTGCTAGAGCTAAAGAAACTGAAATTCATCCAGAAATGAGTCATCATCAGCAAGACATAAAAACGGTAGAAACCACTGCAGCCACTCTTTTTAAAATTAGTATTTTTAATGGACAAATCTTAATTGTATACACTGCAGCTACTCTTAACAATGAAAGAAGCACGTTTAAAAGATTTAGTTCAAATACGCAATCAGTACAAAAAGTATAAAGTGAAAAGAAAAAAAAACAAAAAGAATTCAGTGTTTTTTTATGATGGTTCTGTTTTTGTCTCTCTATTGGACTGTACACATTTAATATATTTTAAGAGAATTGCATTTATTTTTAAGGAAGTTAGCTACTAAATTTCACAAGTAACATACTAACTAATGCTTACTAGGCACTCACCACTAGCGGGCCCTCTGCTGTGTGCTCCACTGACATTAACACAATAGATACCCACACTTGCTGCCTCCTGTTTCTGCTAGGATGTGTGTTTTGTGCAGAGGGAGCTGACCACAGAGTAGTGCAACATGTTGTGTGAGATCACAGAGATAAGAAAGGCTGGGCCAGGACTGAAACTTGTACAGGGGTCTAAGAAAGGTAGCCTAGAGCACTCGGGTCAGGCTTCTTAGCCCTATAATGAAAATGATGACCAAGGTAACTCAAAGCCCAGGAACAGTTTTAGTAATATAAAAATTCCA